TCCGATCTCCCCAAAACCCCAAAACCCCAAAACCCCATAAGTGTTTAAAGTAAAGAAATTAAGCAATAGTGTTTAAAATAAATTTTATGAGTGGTCTGGTAGATAACTAATTTTTATTCTTCATTTTAATAGAGTTCAAAAATTGCCAAAATTCAAAGAATCTTGAGATGTTTTATTCTCTATTAAACTTATTAAGTCGAAATCTTTATGAATTTTTTTTCTGACATCCTTTATATCTTTGAAGGATAAGAGATACTGTGTTAAGCTTTTAAGCACCTAATCAGACTTATCACCTTAAAACTCCTTTATAGGTATTCCATTATGAATCTAAAGCATGAAGTTAGTGACTTAATTGTCTACTATAATCATATCTTTTAAATCTCTATCTATTTATAATAGCCTCAAATCTTTTGCATGATATCCTAACTCCTAAATCTTAACACAATTATCCTTAGTTAATCTATATTGGAAGTAGGACTCATTACCCTCAATAGCATTAATACATGACTTTGCATATTCAGCTTCACCACTGGTGTAAACTATCAACTCAAAATGCTGAGATAATCTTTTCAACATTTGTCTAAGATAAGGTCTGAATTAAATAAATACCTAATAGCCAAAAATCAAAATAAGACAAATGATTACTTTTACTTCTTTCACACCATATTACTTGAATTTGATTATAGAGTCAAAGAAAGGAAGCTTATACTGGCGCTTTTATATTTTAATCATAGTTTCATCCATATCGAATATAATTGTCTTCTAATCTAATCAAAATTAAATTAAATTCAGTAAAAACTTACGTTAAACTTTCTTAGGATAATTAGTATCATATACTTCTAAATTTTTCAAATTTAAGTCTGCTTTTCTCTTTATTAGATTGAATGTTTAATTAATTGATTTCAACTCTGTTAGTATCTTTTTCCTTTCAAAAAAGTCTTGCATTATCATTTCAGGAAAGAATGGGACATCCCTAAATTCATCATCTTGAAACTGCTACTCATTCGATGTCATTTTCTACTTGGTTTAGCAGCTTTTAAATGTATTTTGATGCTAATTGAATTCTAATTTTGTTTCTGATATTCCTTTTAGATTATTTCTCTAGCAGGTATTAGAACTTTTGAATTTATAAGGTGATGCTTTCAGATTAGAAGTGTGAGCCATTTAAAACACAGAAGAACTCATTGCAGTAGTGAATGGGATTGTGCTGTCCATTCTGTTCATTGGAGACGCGCTATCTTTTTCTTTTTATTTCTTTGGATCTTTATTTGAAATTCTTCTCACTTGCTTTATGATTTTTGCCTTCTTTAAGATTAATTAACTCCTTGCAGGCATCAATTAAGAAGAATCTTCTTTGGAATTCACTATCTGAGAATGATTTTACCTAGATCTCTCTTTGAATCTTTTCCTCTTATTCTGTGTAGATTGTTATTGATCTTTTGAGGCTAATACATTGTTAATATCAGTTTGAATCCTTGCTAATTAGATGTCTGAGTCCTTGAGCAATGGTGAGATATTTGCTGATAAATTCCTGCATTGATTGACAATCTCATGATTGTTAAGATTTATATTGTTACTATTTGAAATGCAACCTTTTCAAGACGGTATTGCTAGATTTTAGAGATTTTATTCTTCTGTATAAATTATTCTGTTTCTGCAGTCAATCATTTCAAAGCCTTATACAGCTTTACTCTATTTATCACTTTGATTATTATCTTCAATATTTATCGAATTCTAATCATTCTCATCCTGAGCTATTTGATTCTATTAAAGGGAGAATTTGCTGTCTTGTATCGATATTAAACTTTATTTCCTCTTTTCTTCTTTTTTAATTTTAGATTCTTCAATGCTCATGAGTTATATTACTCTAGGGTCCTTAAAAAATTTAGAGACGATTAGTTGTTATTTATGCTCATTTATAGCTTAACCTTTGTTTCTTATCAAGGGACTTTCATCCTTAATCTCAATATTTCTATCAATTTTCATCTCCATTAGTCTTGATGTACGTAGAGTAACCTCCTCGATATCTAGATATTCACAGTCAGAGTCGTCTGATTATTACGGAGATGCCATTATTAGCATTTTATTATATTATGCATCTTAATTTAGGAAAGAAATCAGAAATCAAGTTTATTATAAATAGACATATATTCTAACTTTTTTAGTTAACTTAATCATACTCCAATTATGCATATTAAATTCTATGGGGTTTTGGGGTTTTGGGG